GCGCGGCTGGGGGGAGGGGAGGCGGGGCGCTTGCCAGGGGAGCCTCAGTCTCTCCCCGCCGTGGGTGGGGGCAGAGGTTCCCTCGTTGCTTGTTCCCGGCCTGGGGCCCTCAGGGGTCCGTGCGCGGTCGGGCCGTGGGGTCATTTCGGACATGGGCGAGGGCGGCCCAGCTGAGCTGAGGACAAGGGTGGAGTATGGGACAGCCTGGTTCTTCCAGAGGCTCCTGCCAGCCTGACCCTCCCGGCTCCACGCACTGCTACCGCCCCGGGGGTGAGGGCGGGGCGGGCCCCCGGGAGGGATTATAGCTCAGTCCCGCAGCGGCGACCCGCCTCCCCAAGAGCGCTGTGGTCTTGTCTGGTTGATAGCTGGACAAATGGCCTCTACTGGTGGGTCCTTCTGGCCTTAAATTCACAGACAGTCATAGAAGTTGGTTTGTGGCGTTAGTATTTTATTATTGCAGGGGAGGCTGCATGTTATCAGTTGCTTTCCCAACTGGTCACATTAAAGGTGTTGCAAATTTAAATTTGTCATAGGTTGCTGAGTTGGGGTCTTTCATGGAGATTCCTAAAATAGAACTGGAAAGGACCTCAGGAGGTCATCAAATCCAGCCCCCTGTGCTCATGACAGAACCCAGCAACATCTAGATCATCCCTTATAAATGTTTGTCTAACCTGCTCTTAAATATCTCCAATGATGGAGATTCCACAGCCTTCCTAAGCAATTCTAGTGCTTAACCACCCTGGCAGAACTTTTTCTCCAAGGCTGTGTCTACATTGGCCCCTATTCCGTAATAGGGATGCAAATGTAGCACTTTGGAATAGGCAAATCCCTGGGGATTTAAATATCCCCCGCGGCATTTGCATTAACATGGCTGCCGCTTTTTCTGGCTTGTAGATAAGCTGGAGAAAAGCGCCAGTCTGGACGCGATCCTCCGGAAAATAAGCTCTTTTCCGGAGGATCTCTTATTCCTACTTGAAAGCCCAAGAGTATGTCTATCCTGCACCCATAGTTCAAAATAAGCCATGCAAGTTGAGCTACACAAATCATGTAGCTTATTTCTCAAAATAGTTTATTTTGAAATTTGGCGCTGTCTACACAACTGTCTACACAGCGCTTATTTCAAAATAATTTGCTATTCCAAAACATCCAGTTGACCTCGTGCAGTGAGGTTTACAGGCATGTCAGGTTAGCGAGCCTGTTGTATTTAGAAATAATGGGCACACTCAAATGTAGAATAGCTATTTTGGGATACTAGAAGTATCCTGAAATAGCACTGCAGTGTAGACATAGCCCAAATGTCCAACCTATCCCTCCCTTGCTACAATTGGAATTTTTGGCTTACTGACACAAGTTGAACAAAGCTTTTACTGTATTTTTCCCAAAAGGCAAACGGGTATGGTCATCGGAAGAAATGCAGTTTTATCAGATGGTTTTCACAATAGGGATGTAAGCGACTAGTCGACTACCCAATAAGCAAATGCTTATCTGGTAGTCAAGTAGGAACTCGACTAGTTGCTTGCTCCCAACCCCTTTTGCAGCCTCTATCAGAGAGAGATAGCAAGGATGGGGAATACAAGCCGGTGCTGGGAGGAGCCACCTTAAGAGCTGGTTTTCCCCATCACTGTCTCTGTGGAGAGCAGGGGATGCAGATGGTAGTGGGGAAACGGCACAAGTGGGGATTGAAACAGTCCCGCTCATGCTGGTCTAACTCCAGCTCCTTTCTCTTTGAAATGTCTGTACATTTCAAAGGAAGAAGCACAGAGATGGGGAATACAAGCCGGTGCTGGGAGGAGCCACCTTAAGAGCTGGTTTTCCCCATCACTGTCTCTGTGGAGAGCAGGGGATGCAGATGGTAGTGGGGAAACGGCACAAGTGGGGATTGAAACAGTCCCGCTCATGCTGGTCTAACTCCAGCTCCTTTCTCTTTGAAATGTCTGTACATTTCAAAGGAAGAAGCACAGAGAGGAACACCCACTGAAATATATGTTTTGTTACAGACCAATTCTACAAGCCAAATACATGGGGAAGGACTGGAATGACAATTCACTCACAAGTTTGATACTTGTGCTAATAATGGATTAAATAAAGATACTGGATATCTGGGACATTATCAGCCTGTTGTGCTTAAAAGAAGCCCGCGGGATCTTTTTCAGGGGGATAAGGCAACATGCCACATTTATTGAACATACATAGTTCAATCAATATTTATCATATGCATATGACACATCACACTGACACACACAAGCACACTCCATCTTGTTACCAAAAGTTGCTCCCCCTAACTGCACTGGCCAGGTGAGTTAGATGGGGGAGGGGTGGAGCCGTGCTTCTGCCGGTCCGGATCGATGCTCCCATGTTGACAAGACGAAAACCTGGGGTCCCTCTGCAAGATGCCTCATATTTGTCCCTCTCATGCAGCCAATTAGTCATCACCTTGCCTTTCTTAATGCTGCTTCAAAGGGTGTGTCTAGACTACATGCCTCCTTCGACGGAGGCATGTAGATTAGCCAGATCGGCAGAGGGAAATGAAGCCGCAATTAAAATAATCGC